ATGACAGTTGGTAGGCCATCGCTGTTCGCCTGTGGAGTTCTGCGGTCACGGAAAGACAAAACGTCGCTGTAGTAATTGTCATATTGGAAAAAAATGCCGTAAATGCCGAGAGTTGGCAACCGTCTTCGCAAAACAGCTGAAAATTGCTTCTTTTCTTTTTACAGAATTTATCACAGCCAACTTCAACTGGTAATGATGCCAACCCAATTTATGTAGCATAACTATTAAAATTATAAAAGGATTTTAAGACTTTTCCTTTGAAATTTCTATAAGACTTATTTTATATTCATCAAGCATGTGCAAAATGTGCTCATAGTAATAATCTAGCGTCATATTGACCGAATGTAACTAAATTTTACAATTATTTTGCAAATTTTACATATATTCGGGGAAAAAATTTGAAGCATGGTAACACTTGTACTCGCTTCCGAGTAGAAATGAAAGAACCAGAAAAAATAATATTCTAACCAGATTCTCGTGTTTTTCAATAATTCAGAACATTGCAAAATAGGTAGATTCTGTGTTATTTGTGATTAAATTTTTTCATAGAAAATAAGCCCGCAATCGAATAAAGTTCGAGAGAAATATTATTTCAGTGCGACCGGTGATAACGAACGATATTTATTTAGAACAAATAGTCTGCGGCCTTTGTATTTCTATGAAATACGCGCTTCGCAACAAATACGGCCGCATGCCGTCTAGCTGAAGGTGAAGGCAATTTGTGCATTTCTANTTTGCTGGCAAAGTGCCTAGCAAAATACCTTAAAGCTGGATAAACTGGAACGAACAGTGAAATTGACGAATATTACAAATCTAAGCATTGCTGACGAGGAATTTATATACAATGTCAGCGGTGACATTGAACATTTCATAAACCAAAGGCATAGTTCTAGGTGAGTAGGCTGTAAGGCAAAGAGTAGCGAAAAAACTGCGGTAGCGGGTGATGCACAATTCACATATGGACAAACATACATTCCTATGTGTGAAAATGTATGGAAACCTAAAATAAGAAATTAGAATTGTATGCTTAGATTAGATACAATTACTCCTAAATTCATCCATTCCATTCCCTGTGTCGTGGAAAATGCACTTTTTTGACAAAAATGGCATATCCAAAAATATTAGACATCACAATAATCAAGCAATCCTGCTGCAAAATTTCTTAAAAAATGCCTAGTATTCTTGTAATGATTGTTTAGATTTATATACATGATATGCATGTACACTGCTGGAACAAAGTATTGGCACAGCAAATTTTTCACAATATATGTAAAAAATTTTATTCTAATATTTTCTGGCAAATTTTGTATAAAAATATGATTCATTCTACAACCAAAAACATAAAAATATATATGCTAAACTTTGTATATACAAATTTTCGTGCAAATTTTCAACTTTTTAATCAGATGTTTTTAGAACTTTTTGGATATGCAGTTTGGCAGCCCATTAAATTCCAATAAAAAAATGCAAGTTCGAAGTTAGTCAAAAATCTCATTGATTTTTGAGAATTTTTTTTAAGTGTTTTGCATTTTTTCCATATAAAATATTTTCGAAAAATTTTTTTCTCTGGAAGAGACTGCGTAAAAAAAATTGCCAAAAATCAACGGTAATTTATAGCTTATTAAAACTTGTACTGTATTATAACAAAATTGATTGGGCTACAAATCTGCATACTCAAAAAATTCTAAAAAATCGGATTAAAAAGATGAAAATTTGCATGAAAATTTACTGAATTTTCGCAAGTTTTGCACAAAGTTTAGAAATTGTATTTTTATTTTTTTTTGCTGTAGAATGAACGATATTTTTAAAAAAAGGAAAATATTACAATAGTGTAAGAAAGCTGCTGTGCCAATAGTTTTTGCCGGCGCTGTATGTACTATATCGTAAACTGAAATTCACAGCTCACAACTTTTTTCAGTTTAAAAAATTTATAAATTTTAAATTTAAATTGGCAAAAAGAGNAAAAAACATAAAAATATATATGCCAAACTTTGTATATGCAAATTTTCGTGCAAATTTTCAACTTTTTAATCAGATTTTTTTAGAACTTTTTGGATATGCAGTTTGGCAGCCCATTAAATTCCAATAAAAAAATGCAAGTTCGAAGTTAGTCAAAAATTGCATTGATTTTTGAGAATTTTTTTTTAAGTGTTTTGCATTTTTTCCATATAAAATATTTTCGAAAAAATTTTTTCTCTGGAAGAGACTGCGTAAAAAAAATTGCCAAAAATCAACGGTAATTTATAGCTTATTAAAACTTGTACTGTATTATAACAAAATTGATTGGGCTACAAATCTACATACTCAAAAAAATCTAAAAAATCTGATTAAAAAGATGAAAATTTGCATGAAAATTTACTGAATTTTCGCAAGTTTTGCACAAAGTTTAGAAATTGTATTTTTATTTTTTTTTTTGTTGTAGAATGAACGATATTTAAAAAAAAAGGAAAATATTACAATAGTGTAAGAAAGCTGCTGTGCCAATAGTTTTTGCCGGCGCTGTATGTACTATATCGTAAACTGAAATTCACAGCTCACAACTTTTTTCAGTTTAAAAAATTTATAAATTTTAAATTTAAATTGGCAAAAAGAGTAACGTCCGCAACGTAACGTCCCCAACGAACATATACATTTATGTACTTTAAAGTTAACTCTAATTTTCTCTGCAAAGTATTTTTCTAGATTGTGTTTTCCGTATGGCAATTTACAAAAATCTAAATTTTAAAGGTATATCGAAATCGCTTCCATGTTTTTTTCGAAACTAAGCTTTAATGATAAGCAATAAAAATATGTTGCGTTATTTCCCAAAGCCACATAGAAACTGCCTAAAACTCGAATGAAGTTAGAATAGGCACTAAGAAAACTACGATTTTGCCGCGTTAAATTAAAAATTATCATCACTGAGAAAGATTACAAATACATTTTCGTTTTCAAACGTATAGCACCATCGGCTAGTCGAAAAGTAGCTTGTTTTGCACCACTCAGCGCACATTTGACGGGAATTGCTGATGTACATATATAGCTACATAAATGCATTTTTTAACTTAGTTGCGGTAAGTGAGACANTGCGCACATTTGACGGGAATTGCTGATGTACATATGTATATAGCTACATAAATGCATTTTTTAACTTAGTTGCGGTAAGTGAGACATTTCCTTGGCGGGTAATCCGAAAACTAAATAGCTGCAAAGATTGTACATGATTATTGAAGTTTCTGTAGTGCGCAGCATGTATGTACATGCGTACTATATATAAAAATAAGTGTTATCTCATTAAAACAGTAATCAAAACACCTATTTTCCTTATTTCTAATTACGCAAGTTACAGGAAATATTGCTTACTTGCCTATCACATTCATTACCACACTGGTTTTTGTGCTACCAATGCATTACCATTTGATTAAGTGGATATACGTGCATACATACATACATATGACATATACATGTAGCTATATAGCTACTTATTAGNACACTGGTTTTTGTGCTACCAATGCATTACCATTTGATTAAGTGGATATACGTGGATACATACATACATATGACATATACATGTAGCTATATAGCTACTTATTAGTGTTTATTTCGCGGTCTTGCAAATAGCCATAGTTTTTCTTTAATACGTTGCATTTTCCTTACGGAATCTGTTACACGTCAAACTTAAACTAGTTTTAGTAACACAGTAACCGAGACAGCATCGGGTTACGGCCGGTTGGCTAGTAACACAAATTGAATGCGACTGCATCAAATTGAAGTGCAAAGATGTACATTTTTAAGTGTATCGTACGCGATTTCTATGTATGTATGTACAAAATGCATTTAGAAATTGTATAAACAACGGAATGCACGTAGGCGCCAGCTTTTCTGTTTGAAAGTCCATGTAATGTAATTTCGCTAGCTTAGAGTGAAAAGTTGATAAATCCACTTCTCATGAAGACTTACATTTTTAGACAGGAAGCGAGGCAAATTAAAAATGCGTAGTTTTCAAAAGGACCGAAATATTTTATTTATTTCTTAATATTTTTACGCGCTCAAACGTAAATTTAGCAATTTATTCGAAAGAATATGAAAAATGTTCATTAACTTCGAAATCTACCGAAGTTACACTTTGATTTGAATACGCAAAAATGTTGTCGTCAAAGTTTTGCAACATATTTGCAGAAAAGGAATTTCGAAAGTTTTTATACTCCTGGAAAATTCGAAAAACTACTTAACAACTATCCACTCTAAATAGCGATTTACTTCACAATTGTAAATTTATTTACACTTCTTGCTGCAAACATACAGTCAGTGTCAAATGTAAGTGTAAAACTTGTTCTAATATAATATTCACAATTATTTTCATGAAATTTTTTTTCATTAATTGTCTATAAATCAAAGTTTCACACTTTTGTATAAAATTCAAACAATTTTAATCAAAATTTCAAAATTTCTATTCAGAATTTCTAGAAAATTGCAAGTTTCAAGTCGCTAAAAATTACCGCTGATTTTTAAGATTTTTTTTTGTGGATGGTGCTGCGCGTTTTCATCCAAATAACACACACACACAATTCTATAAAATCAACGGTAAAGTCGGAATTTTAATGCTACCCTTAGGGTTGTTCTAAATCTAAAAAATAATAGTACTGCTTTTTTTTTTGAAATCGAAAAATATCTACAGGTCGCTCAAAGTTTTTCATGCAGTTTGCATGGGAAAATAACAAGTGTTCCGGGGGAATGGTATCGAATTTTTGAAAATCAATATTTTTCGATCGGAAAACTCTGTTTTTCTTCAAGAGACTTCCTATAAAAAGCACAATTGTTAATTTTACCATTTTTGAAACCTACGGATTTTTTATGGGTCCCCCGATTGCATTTTTTTGCACAGTGAGAAAACGGCATTATCGCCTAGACGCGTGCACCCTGGTTCAATTAAGATCCGGCTATTGCAGCCGCCTCAACAGCTACCTCTGACGCCTAGGTCCGCAAGCACGTGCCCAGCATGCGGGTTAGAGCCACACTACACCAACCACTTTTTGCATGCCCTGCCAACTCAACGACTCGTGACAACCGAAGCTCTGTGGTGACCGCTGTGGTATTGAGTTAGGATTTCGTGAGCCCTATCAGGCTGCTGCTGCTCATAGTTTTAACGGATGGTGATTGAACCTCGGTTAAGGCATTCACAAGGCGAGAACTTGGTGGTGATAGACTCTCTATGAATGTCTTCAAAGTTTTTCAAGTTTCAGCAAGACAATCGGGTTTGTGGGAAAATTTCATAAAATGTTAGGGTGTATCAGAAAGTGACAAAAAGAAGAAAAAGGGATATCTGCAAGTACAATTATTTTGTCTTAAAATCAACTACAGAAGAAACTTGTCTTAAGTCTATCTACATATTTACTACACTTATGTATATGTATATGACTACAAACATTCCCATAACATGATTTCGTTAGTTAGCAACTTGCGTTACAAACTACAATACCACTTCATATTCCCATCTCATGCGGCACATTTTCTTTTTGCTTTTAATGCTCCACGCCATCGACGGCTAAAACCGCTAACAACATTACATACATATCTACATGTATATTACATAATATTCTCATAAGCCGTCTATATATCTCTTCTGATGTTACTTTGTTCCTTTTCTCTTTGCTCATTTGCTGGTTTGTTCACTGTGTATACTACTTCTTCTTCATTGTTGTGAATAAGTGATACGCGCATTGACTGACGCTTTGCTCTGTTTATTTATGCAAAGAAAAAAGGTACAAGAAAAATAAAAGCCATGCAAAGACTGAAAACCACCGACTGAATTGCCATTAGCTATCGAGTTGCTAACCAGTTTTTGCAATTTTCCTCGAAAGACTAAAATGCCACAACAAAACAAACCAATACCTTCGAATTTGTGGTTTGCAATTGCGAAAAAAAGAAAAAAATAATAATAATTGGATATTGTTTTCTACACTTTTCTGAAGCGTTGCTAAGAGTTGTATAGAAAAATCCTGGAAAATTGAATATTTTAAGCAAAAAAAAAAAGCAAAATCTTTCAGCTTTTAATACACAATCCAAAATTTCACATTTGTTCAATAAGCCTTGGCATGTACAAGTGTAATTTAGGCATATTTTATGTTATTATTTATGGCATAGGCTATGTATGAATGTATGTTTGTCTGTATATCTACCTATTCATAAGTATTTGATAAAAAAAATATATATAAATTCTTTATTTATTTTTTTACAGTGTTCTACTTTTTCCACCTGTAAACAATTTTCGCCGTTTTCTCATACATCAAACATGTGAACAATTCCGTCAACAGTACGATCTCTTCACTTTTTCAGTGGGGCAAGGTCCATTCCGCCGCACTGTAGTCTGTTTTCGGAATCAATTATTGGATCCCAATAAATTTACAGATACAGCAGCAGCAGCGAATTTCGAATCGTAAGTATCACATACATACATTACAATTCTTTGTGGCTTATTCTTAAATGCATTATTTTCTTTTTGTCAGTAGGCGAAAAAAATCACCGGTGAAAAGTTGGAGAAGCGTTGAGCGAAAAACTGAAGTTGTCGCAAACGATATATCCTCAACGTCTTCTTCGTCATTTGTTAGGCAACAAAGAAGCACACCTGGTAAGATGGGCGCGGAGAAGAATACCAACGAAACTCGTGGTAAGTTTGAATATAGTTTTGCGTGCTATAAACATTTGGGTACAACTGTGTAGAACACATTTATAATATGAACGTTGCAATGTGCGTCAAGTACTTACCACCTATAACGGTTACGTAGACCCGACTGTCGTCGGACTTCCTCCCCTTCAATTGTAGGGTTTCATCAGGACTTAAGGGCCAGACAATGTCCTTGTGATGAGTTTAGAGGGCATAATAAAGCCACAGTGCATATCGTCAATAATATATGTATGTCTATCTGAATCAGTGACTCTTAACCGGTGGGCCCTAGAAACACTCGAGGAGGTCTCATTCAAAAAAGTATGAACGTCAAGCGCGGAATGCTTTGATATTGCGATAAAAGCACTTGTAAAATAAAAGTATGAAGTTCACTTCATTAAAAAGAGTGCATGAACATTAACACTCGTCTAGTCAAACAATTGTGCCTTGATATGATAAAAAATAAGTTCAATCGATATTTTCTTGACTGCGAGAGTAAAAAATATATGAAAACTGATCTACAATTCGTAAGTATGTATTGTCAACGTTTCTGATGAAACCTAATGAAATTGAAAAATGAGTGATCGAAATACAACACGATGGTAGAAGATTTTTGAACCAAAAGTGCTTCGAGAAATTGCTTTTCATTATCTAATTTTGTTTTCATCTACAATTAATTACACAGTGCTACAAAAAAATTGTTAGTAATGGTCAAGTACAATATAAAAATAGGTTACGTATAGTTCCTGAACCTCCATTGTTATTTTATTTAAAAACAACCATTATGTTCGTACTTGATGAGGTATCTATTACACATGTTTTGAAAAGGGGATTTATAGACCTTTAAAATGATTTATAGAGCTTTAAAAAATATCCGATTTCAAAAATATTCAACGCAGTGCTTAAGGAGGCTAACCACAATGTGTGTATCAAATTTGGTCGAGATCGGTCAAGTAGTTTTTGAGATACGCATATATGATATAAGTGTGCGGTGCCACGCCCATTTTCCTGAAATTTTATCAAAAATAAATTTTTTGCTTAAGATCCATTGTATATATAAATTTTGAGTAAAAATTGATGAACTGCTTAGCCACACTGCTCATAAGATCGGAAAGTCCGGCACATACACAAAAAAAATTCAAGGCCGTATTTTTGCTTAAATTGCTTAACTTTGATAAGAAATTAAGAAAAACAAGGGGCTTATTAAAGTTGAACCGATGAAAACTCCCCACGAGCTAAGTTTAACAATATATTATATATCATTTTAAAGGTATATACATCCTATTTTGAAGACATGTTTGACTTTTAAAATCCGATGAAAAATAGTCAAGCTGTTAATAGATAAGTGCATCAAGTACGAATATAACGGTTGTTTTTAAATAAAATAATAAAAATGGAGGGTTCAGGAACTATACGGAAACTATTTTTATATTGTACTCGACCATAGCTACAACCTACAATACGTTTTGTTTCGGGTGTATTTCATGACTTTTTAAAAAAGCCCTTCCGAAAGCCCTTCCTGAGAGTCAAGGGGCTTTCCATTCTACATTCCTTTCTCCTTTCTTTTTTGTATGGAGTCGCACAAATTGAAGGGCTTCTTCTTTCACTATGTGTTATTGCAACTTAAAATGTTTATTGAAATTCATTTGTAATGCTAAATTGTAAATGGATAAGCCCTTCTAAAAGGAAGCACTTTTTTCAGCGCTCCTTGGGTAGGCCTCTTAGAATGGCTTTACTTAAGAAGGCCTATCTAAATTATCTTCTGGGGTGTTTCATTTATAAATAGAATAAATCTTTAATCATTTACCCTTAGTATTTATGACCTCCAAAAAATTGGTGGTCCGTGCATTCACAGAAATTTTGTCAAATGGCCCAACTTAAAGCAGTCATGGAAGCGCTGGCGGAACTTTGTAAGCAAGCGCAAAAGTTTTGGGCTTGCTTATGAATTTCTGCCAGCGCTGCCCATGCCTGACTTAAATGTTAAGAACCATTGATCTAAATGCTTAAATTTTTTTATATCCGAGAAAATGCGTAACACCCTGAGCAAAAAAAAAGAATATCAAAAATCAACGTGACTTTCAGTAACTTATAATTTGCACTTTTTTATATTAAATTTTTTATTAGGCTATATAAAACTGCATACTAAAAATTGCGATTAAAGTTTGAAACTTGATTGAAGAGAGAAATCAATCGAGATAGTCCGTGTTCCAATGAAAATTTGAGATACCTTTACGAAAGTTGGCTGTTCTTTGTTAAAGTTAGGTAATAACAAGTAATTTTTAGCAAGTCGCTTCAACTCTCATATAAAAAATATATATATATATATATATATCTCATGATCCACTGATCAGATCTTAACCAGATTAGTATGGGACCACCTCTGAGACACTACCTTTCCGATGCAAAAAGAATTATCGAAATCGGTGGTCCAAAGCTATGCAGTAACATACATAAAAAAAAAAAATATTCTGACGAACTGATAACCTCCTCCTTTTTTGGAAGTCAGTTAAAAATAAAAAAAATAAAATATAAAAATAAAAAAATATTCCGACGAACTGATAACCTCCCCCTTTTTTGGAAGTCGGTTAAAAATAGGCGAAATTAGAATGAAACCACGCCCCCTCCCATGTAAAGGTATTTTTTGTAAAAAGCTATAACTGCAATTTGACTGCAAAATGGCTCAAAATTTTATATTTTTTTAGCAAAAAATGTTATTTAAAAAAAAGTTGGAAAATGCGCGACACCACGTTTATGTAGTTGAGTGCTTAGTCTACAGCAGAGATGGGCAAACTCACAATCACACATATGTCTTCCTCAACAGCCAGTGCTCGGACTGTACCGCATTTGTGGATGAGATTCCACTTTTTTTTGCTAAATTAAATTTCTACTACGTCTACTACCGTAAGCTAAAAAACTACCGCATCTTGAAGCTTATTTTTTTTTAATTTGCTCATTCTTCCATCCCAACAGGTAGTAGCAGTAGAGCAGCTGATTTCTTTTGTTTTCAAATTATTTGGTCTCTAAAATGTCAAATCTTTTTGATTCCTTTTAACAAAAATTTTAAATTGTTAAAATCTATTTGCATGTTAAAACTTTTTTCCATACACAAGAAGCAATTGAAAATCAGGTTTTGGTACCTTCGCCAAACTCAGGAGTCCAAATGTGATTACTGGGACTTGCAAAGGATGGCAACAAATTTACAAAAAAAAAGAAAGTTGCAGCAAATTTTTTTATTTATTTTTTTAAATTTAAAATTGTGTTATTTTGGCTATTTTGGCTATATATATGCTATTTTTTTTTGTCCTTGAAAGACAGACTTAAGTTGTTTTGTCAAATGTCCACAGATTTAAATTTTTGTTTATGTTTCCCATGACACATTTGATCTTAAAAAAAGTCTGAATAACTCTTTGACGCTTTAGAGACCGGAATCAGCATCAAAATACACGTAAATATTGTTTTTGCTGTAATACTACTACCTGTTTAATGTGCCTTGATTTAACGCAAACATCTCCGGACTCCAATAAGAAGTTTCACTTCATAAACGTTTGCCTCCGAACACTGTCAACAACAACTGATTTGATTTGCTTTACTGAAGTACCAGCGAAGCAGGTACCAGTCAACGGTGAAGAAGATGATGGTAGTATACGTGTGCCAACGTCGCAGAATGCAGCATTTTGATGCCCAATTACATGTGTTTGGAAAATCAAAAAATGTCTATCTCTGGTCTACAGCGTCGGGACAAAGTACTTGTAAAAAATGAAATGAAATGTTCCTATTCTAATCTAGTTTTTTGGTAGAATATCTTATCTATTCAAACAGAGGGTATTTTTCGCAATGATTTTACGTAGAATTCTTGAGCTGCATCTAAATTTTAGAAACGAAATATAAAAATAACTAAAAACACATTTTCAATAGTTATCGCACTTCTATAGACAGTGACAATGGAAAAAAATATTGTAATCGAAAATGGCATAATACGTATTGTAAAGAACTAGTTTTATTAGTTGAAAATCATATGATTAATGGTGTTTGCACGAAATTCAATTTTATTAATAAAATACATGTCACTTTCATCTTCAATTTGCTAAAAGCTTTTTGGTAAGTGCATATTTTAAAATTATTTTGAAATTCTAACAAACTTATTGCTAACACCATTACGTTTTCACTAACAGACACAGCTTAATGAATGCGTGCGTGCGATTGTGAAGCCCCCCAAAATATTGTTATAAGTACTACATATCTATAGTTTTGGCCACTGGTCGCACACCTAATTATATGCCAAATCAGCGTGAATCCAAAAATATAGCAAAAGCCGGCTACAAATACATGCAAAAACTCTTTTTATACATACATTCATACATACATATGCATACCCATGAATATTGTATGTCTAACTCAAAAATTGGGCACACTGCTCTCTGGCAAACTATGATGATGAACTCCAGCGTTGAAGCGTTTTTAATTCGTTTACGCTACAGTGTTGTAGTCAAATTCAAGGTCGAAATCTACATACATATGTACGTTTTCGTTGATTTTCTCTAGTCCCTTCACTTCTCACTTCACTTTTTTAGCTCCCTTTTTATACATTTTTGTTCATTGCGTATTGACCAAAAGTTGTACGTGACGACGCGTTTAAATCTCAGGGTCGAGCAACCAGTTAGTGAAGCCAAATGCCGCTCCCGCCCTGTAAACGCTTTTCGTCTTCGCCTTTGTTTGCTTTTATTTTTTGTTTTTTGTTTTTTCATTGTTTTTTGTTTATATGTAATTTGTTTTTAATTCTGCTTTGTCAGTGGTTTGTGTAGTTTTTCGTTGGTTCTTTGCTCGCACCTTGGATTAGTTAGTAGATAGATAAATAATATCAAAAGTATTATAGAATACTTAAGAAATTAAATGAAATAAAAAAATTAAAAAATTAACTAAAATGGAATAAGAAAATATTATTAAATTCAATGAAGCAAAAGAAAATGTTGTAAAAATTTTACTAAGAAATTCAATTTTAAAAATCATTTAGGCATTCGGCATACTTAAAAAAATAAACGAAATAAAAAAATAAACTAAAATGAAATCAGAAACTACATATTAATAAATTCAGTGAAGCAAAAGAAAATGTAAAAATTTTACTAAGAAATTCAATTTTAAAAATCATTTAGGCATTCGGTTTTTTACAATTTATTGTGTTTTTTTTGGTCTCCTTCTCTGGATCCTCTACGCCGAGACGATGCGGCAGATTGTTTATTTAATCGACTATACATTTAACGGTAAAATTATAATAGCTGTAATCGCAAGCAGCGCTCACACTGCAAGGCCATTCAGTGCAAGAGAGTGAGCACTCTCTCTCTCTTCAACTGCATAAATGAAATGATAAAAACAAAACAAGAAAATGGCAACAACGCGTTTTTATTTGGGTCAACAATTTTAATTTGTATTCAACAAGTATTACCACATTATTACATTTAAATATTTATATGCATACATATGTATGTACGAGTATGTATGTATCTTTATGCAGGAAAAAAGCAAATCGTTTAATAAGTTTTGCGGTATTCATGCAGACATTAATGCATACCATTAATAATTACGGCTATAGCTTTTGGGTTTCTGGGCTTCGGTTAAAACAAAAAAAAAGGCGGGGAAATAAAAATTTGGATAGCGTTTTTACAAGATTATAAAGTAAGATGTATTTTAAAATAAACATAAATATGTATGTATATTGAAATTAAGTCTCGGGTACATCTGGTCTGGACATCTGAAGCAGTGACTTGAAATCGACCCAAATACTACGTAAGTCAACTACGATGGAATATCGATATTTTTCGTTAAAATTTTTTATGATTTTTTTTTCTTTTATTTTCGATATGTCATCCCTTTCTTTTAGTAGATTATCGCGGTGGTTACTTAACTGATATGTTCAAAGAATAATGTACTAAAATCTAAAGGTGTAAAATAAATTTTTTTTCCATTAACTCAAAAGATATACACATACATATATATGTACATTAGACTGAATCACCAAAGTTGCGGTTTTTGCGCCGGGATTACAAAATGTATTATATTTGAAGATTTCCACCGAAATTTTTCGAAAAAATATTAAGATTTACGAGAGCTGGGCTGATTTGAAAATACCTCAAAAAATTTAATTTTTTTAGAATAAAAATAGTTTCATAAAAAAATTTGTTGAAAAAAATCCCCTGAGTTGACAAAACTTAAGCTTAAAAATTCTGCATAAAAATATTAAAAAACTTATTTAACGTAATCATAATAATGATCCTAATCAAAGATTGGTTTGAGAAAAACTTGAATAACTGGGCCAAAACCACCGATTCAGACTTATGAGGTATCAGTGGAAAGGTACATATTTTCTCACCCTTTTTATTTCTTTGCAAAGCAGCTCATTCACGTTCCAATATTTATTTTTTTTTTCATATCGACACATCTTTATTCAACTTGAAATGATGCTCATTCATCTTACCTTTCTCTTTCATACTTTGAATGAGTTTATTTGCAAAGGAAACAAACAAAAAGGGGGTAAAATACCTTTCCAATGATACCTCATAAGTCTAAATCAGAATAGTTTTGGCGCAGTTATTCAAGTTCTTCATAAATCAATCTTTGAAAAAAGTAAAAAAACAGCATCGAAAATCTCATTATTATGATTCAGTTAATTTTTTTTTTATTATTATTATGCAAATTTTTTAAGCTCAAACTGTTGTCATCAGAGGTGAGTTTTTTCAAAAAATTCTTAATACAACTATTTTATTCATGGAGTTTTTTCAAATCGGTTCAGCTCACGTAAATTTTAATATTTTTTCCGAAATATTTTGGTGCAAGCCTTAAAAAATAATAGATTTTATATATCCCATGAAAAAACAGTACCATTTTTTTTGTATGGCGAGTGATGCAGTCTAATGTACATACATACATAGCGGGTTAGGTTAGGTTAGGTTAGGTTATCTTTGCTGTCCCAATCCAGCACAGGAGAAGGACACACTTAGGCCACTGTGGGCACATTGTGATGCCATACCAGATACTCCCTACGTCCCTTCTCATACCTTAGAAGCAAAACCAATTTGTAGCGCTAATGTGTATGCAGCAACCAAAAATATCCAAGTCTATGAAATGTGTCCCAGCAACATCTGAAAACTACGGCCTCTTGCTGGTTCCAGCCATTTGCATCTTCCAATGCTTCTGCGAAACTAGATAACTGATGGAAGCATTCAGTATGCTCAAAAGCGGTTAAATGTTGAATGACGATTGGAGTAAACTTGTAGAATAAGGTTAAATTAATTAGACATTTAACACGATTCACCGATGAGTAACAGCGATTTGCCCCGACGGAATATGCAAGCTGATGCTGAAAAAAATGGACCTGCGGGACGTTCGTTCCAGATGTCTGGACTTCTTGATAATGGCGTCGTAGAAAAGAATTGATGACTTGTGCTTGAAAGTAAGCGTTTACCTCTTCGAACTATCTCGCTTCTTCGCAGCACGGAGCCTAACCCTCTCCCCCACGAAATCCTCGGCAACCCTACTAACAACTAACAACCTTGTCCCTATGGACTAACCGAGGAGGAGTTGCATACTTCCTGGGTCGCCTGTTAGCTGAGCTTGACTACAACGATTTAGGCTACGGTTACTGTACATGCGTATTCTGACGAATTTTTGTTTTGACGATTTTTTCGAAACAAAACAATACGAAACACACAAAGAAAACAAGTATTTTTTTGTTGGGACGAAGTCGTCAGAACAAAAGTTCGTCGGAATACGCATGCATTGTAACCGTAGCCTTAGAGACAAGCCGATCTAGGCAGGGCTGAGTACCCGTTACAACAATAACAGCGCCACTAATAGTGGGCAAACGTCTAGCTGGCGTCTAAGTATACTCAGATGGGAGTGGCTTTCGAGATGAATCCTCCAACTTTAGGTTTACGCCCGTTATATTCTTTGCAATGGGTCACCACACCTTTAACGAAATGCTTATGAAGTAGGACTAAAGACCTTAAGCCTCCTTCTCGTGAATGCCGTAATCGGAATCGAACAATCACCAGCTGCCTAGGGAGCATCGCGTCACTTTGTAACAGATACGATCTGGTCGTCATAGCATGTTACACTCTTACATATTCAGAATCGACTCCAATTTGTGAAAGAAGTCCGCACGACACTAACCATCTCTTCATCTTCCCCCTTAAAACTACTCGGCTAACTTTTCCGGCTCTTGCGTCCGACTGTTATCTTTAATTGCACTAGACCCCTACTAATGGCTAATCGATATACTATGTTTGCAGAGCCAAGAACGTTCCCACAAAAGAGTCAATCTGGCACAAAAGTATTTAGAGCAATTTGAACAGAACAAAAAGTTCGGGAATGTTACCGTAAAGAACAAAAGTTCTCGTGAATGTTCTCAAGAATAACATTGTGACAAGGAAACTTTCGGTAACGTTTTCAATGAGAACGAAAGTATCGATAACTTTTTAAAGGAGGATCAAATAAGAACAAAAGTGTTAAGGTTAAGAATGAGACGGCCGTCTGCGTGTTGGGATGAAAAATCGTTTCAGTGAGAACCACGATTGTTAATTCTAAGCCAGATGACAGCTGGATCATCTCTCCGTTTAAGGAATAATTTTTCATTTTCTGTGCAGGAAAAGTGACTTAATTTGCAATTTGCACGAGCTGCCGGTTTTAAATCGGCATATTGTGTGAAATGGTAATGGCGGAAAAGTGGTTTTGAAGTATTTTCATGTGCCTCAAATGACTGATCTTCCTTTGGCTTACTATGTGGATATTAATTGTTCTTTACGACAAATTTATACTTATTAATTTTTGTTTTTATAAATCACATATTTTTTATGTATATTTTATTAAATCATGCATTATTTCTTTCTTTTACTTTCCAGCAAGCAAAACGAACTCAATAGATCTCTATCGACCCCCAGCTTTAAGAAATCATAATCACAATGCTGATACGATTGATACGACGACGACGACGACGACGACGACGACGACTAATGCAACTTTTGTTGCCAAAACTGGGTCAGTGAATGCAACAGCCGCAACGAGTGCAGAGACTTCGTGTACAACAAGAGCAACACCAACAAAAACAATTGGCAAAACAACACTGTTATCTACCTCAATATCATGCAATAATTCCCCAACTCATGCAAATGAGAATAAGAGTTTCGATAATAATACAGTGACCTCGACGAGGTGCGTAAACGCCGAAATGGACTGCGCAACAACGACAACAGCGGCGACGAAAGCAACAGCAACAACAACGCCAAACGCATTGACGATCAATTCAGAGTCGGTGGCGACTGGCGGTATGCCAACAACGCCAGTGTCGAGTGCCACCACAATCAGCAGCAGCAGCAGCAGCAGCAGCGGCCAGCAAAGGTAAACGAACGTAGCAACAGGCTAAGAAACAGAAATATATACGAACATACATATTTACATTTGGTTGCCGAAATTAGTAAACGAGTTTTGTTTATAAAATATGCTAATTGAATGAGCTTAAACACAGTGGCAGGGGCGCCGCGGAGGTTTAGCAAATATTTCGGCATTTTTATTTCGTATGCGACTGTTACTAATAAAGTAATATTTAATTGTTTAGCAGTCAGTAATCGAAAAGTTGGGAGTTTGACACTAACAAATCTAAAACTTGATAAAGTAAACCTTTAAAGAAATCACAAACTAAGTGTAAGACATGCAGACTGATGGGGAGACCGACAGGAAGACGTTCCCACGACAGTCGGGTCTACGTAATTGGAGCGACGATTTAACTCCCCAAAAACTATGGAGAAATTGTGTGCTGTTACAACAACAATAGACAGGGAGAAGTTACAGTTCGTCGGCCAATAGGTTCAGAACCCCGTCTTCCTGCTCCTGATGTGTCAGAATCGTTTCCTCTCTACCAGGACCGACACGGTCTACATAGTGAATTGTATTGTTGTCTTTAAGTGTCTAAATTATCGACTCTATAATAAAATTTTGGGGCTCATATTTTTTGGAACATTTTGAACCCAATATGTCTCACCCGTAGTAATATAACTTTTTTCAATCTCCTCAATATGGGCATCAAATGAAAGAGTTTGACAAGTACAACACATTGCATTGCTTCCCTCTACACTTAGTTTGATGTGCGAGTCTATCCGCACTTTTAAGAGTCTACAGAAAAAAAAGAAATTAGACAAGGCCTAATAAACTTGCAAACCGTTAATGCGCGATTGGCAGCTTTTGCCAGCATTTAGCAAGAATACCACTCACGGAACATATTGTCACTTGAAATGCGAAAAAACGTAAAAAACAACGTCGCTGAATTCCAAAAAGTCGAATATATCTGCTCCAAAAAGCAGGTTGTAATGCTGGATTTCCACTAGGCATTAAATGGCAAAAATTATAAAGTCGGGCATTAAAAAAAAATCGTGTCATTACATCAAAAAAATAGTCATGAAGTTCATTTCCACATGGCATTTTTTAAATGGCATACATCTTTTGTCATTTCAATGCCTAGTGGAAATTCGGCATTACATTTGTCCCGCCCGTGACAGAAGAAATAACTCAGATTTTTTCCATATAAAAGTACGCTGGAATTTTTTTCGTATTTCGTAATAACTCATAAAATAGTCAATTAGGTGTAGCTTTATCAAAATGTAGAATTGTTGAGTACTTCATACTTAAATTTAAAAATAAATCGCCCTTATGGAAAAAAATTATTAGTCACGACTTTTTTCATTTCAGGTAGCGATATATACAGCCCGCGACAAAACGATAGCACCTCGACATTTTGAACAGTTTTGACTATTTATCTTTTGTTTGTTTCATGTTTATTATTTTTATATAAACATATAGCTTTTTATCTAAGAAATCCCATATGAAACCAAATTTCAGACTATGTACAAAAATTATAAAAATTCCACAAACTTTTCATCTCAATCCCAAGCATTTTAATTTTAATTTCTAGAATAATTTTTGGTATGCAGTTTTATAGCTTATCGCTAAAAAATCGCGTTGATTTTTGTTAATTTTTTTGCTGACGGTATCACGCTTTTTCTTCCATACAAAGTTCGTAGTACCACTAGGGTGGCTGGGTAACTTTGGCCTTCCTTAGGTGACAAACTTCAAAATCGTTCATCCTTTCCAGGTCCCTTGCATTGCTGTTCTTAACCAGCCCCTTGAAAAAGACTAATTTTATTAGTCTATACTTTCTATAAAAAGTATTCTTTGATAACCGTTTGACAAAGGCATTGATGAAGTCTATAAAGACGTGATCCAAGAAAGAGGGCCTACCGAAAATCCTCCACTCCGTCACACGACAAAGCTAAGGACATGCTCAGGACAGAGTCTCAAATTAGGAATTAATACACTACGAGAATACGAAGAATGCGTACATATATACATATGTACATATCCACTTACATATATACATATACATATATAGTGTAAACGGTGCATTGTTAAACTTCATTATTGAGCTACTGTATAGGAATAATTTTAGTTTTCGCATTACTTAAATAAAATTATTTATTTATTACGAACGTCCATATACAATCGTTTTCAAGCTATGCACAAGTTTTTTTGTTTATTGTTTTTTTTTGTTTGTTTTACATTCATATGCAATACAGGTTTAGCCAAAAGCTACACTACGGGTAGCAGCAAGAAGTTAGCGCATCACAATCCAACGTGTTTAACTAGTTTTATTGCATTTTACGGCATTCTTTTGTGACTTATTTGCCATTTTGTTTTGCTCATATCTTTCTTAGTTTTGTGTGTACATTTGGTTGGCTGCATTTATGCTCAGGCGTTTCGTTCACCTGTCTGTCGATCATTCATTCACCCAGTTACCTCGAAACATGCGAGCGAACATATGTATNACATATTGTCACTTGAAATGCGAAAAAACGTAAAAAACAACGTCGCTGAATTCCAAAAAGTCGAATATATCTGCTCCAAAAAGCAGGTTCTAATGCTGGATTTCCACTAGGCATTAAATGGCAAAAATTACAAAGTCGGGCATTAAAAAAAAATCGTGTCATTACATCAAAAAAATAGTCATGAAGTTCATTTCCACATGGCATTTTTTAAATGGCATACATCTTTTGTCATTTCAATGCCTAGTGGAAATTCGGCATTACATTTGTCCCGCCCGTGACAGAAGAAATAACTCAGATTTTTTCCATATAAAAGTACGCTGGAATTTTTTTCGTATTTCGTAATAACTCATAAAATAGTCAATTAGGTGTAGCTTTATCAAAATGTAGAATTGTTGAGTACTTCATACTTAAATTTAAAAATAAATCGCCCTTATGGAAAAAAATTATTAGTCACGACTTTTTTCATTTCAGGTAGCGATATATACAGCCCGCGACAAAACGATAGCACCTCGACATTTTGAACAGTTTTGACTATTTATCTTTTGTTTGTTTCATGTTTATTATTTTTATATAAACATATAGCTTTTTATCTAAGAAATCCCATATGAAACCAAATTTCAGACTATGTACAAAAATTATAAAAATTCCACAAACTTTTCATCTCAATCCCAAGCATTTTAATTTTAATTTCTAGAATAATTTTTGGTATGCAGTTTTATAGCTTATCGCTAAAAAATCGCGTTGATTTTTGTTAATTTTTTTGCTGACGGTATCACGCTTTTTCTTCCATACAAAGTTCGTAGTACCACTAGGGTGGCTGGGTAACTTTGGCCTTCCTTAGGTGACAAACTTCAAAATCGTTCATCCTTTCCAGGTCCCTTGCATTGCTGTTCTTAACCAGCCCCTTGAAAAAGACTAATTTTATTAGTCTATACTTTCTATAAAAAGTATTCTTTGATAACCGTTTGACAAAGGCATTGATGAAGTCTATAAAGACGTGATCCAAGAAAGAGGGCCTACCGAAAATCCTCCACTCCGTCACACGACAAAGCTAAGGACATGCTCAGGACAGAGTCTCAAATTAGGAATTAATACACTACGAGAATACGAAGAATGCGTACATATATACATATGTACATATCCACTTACATATATACATATACATATATAGTGTAAACGGTGCATTGTTAAACTTCATTATTGAGCTACTGTATAGGAATAATTTTAGTTTTCGCATTACTTAAATAAAATTATTTATTTATTACGAACGTCCATATACAATCGTTTTCAAGCTATGCACAAGTTTTTTTGTTTATTGTTTTTTTTTGTTTGTTTTACATTCATATGCAATACAGGTTTAGCCAAAAGCTACACTACGGGTAGCAGCAAGAAGTTAGCGCATCACAATCCAACGTGTTTAACTAGTTTTATTGCATTTTACGGCATTCTTTTGTGACTTATTTGCCATTTTGTTTTGCTCATATCTTTCTTAGTTTTGTGTGTACATTTGGTTGGCTGCATTTATGCTCAGGCGTTTCGTTCACCTGTCTGTCGATCATTCATTCACCCAGTTACCTCGAAACATGCGAGCGAACATATGTATGTATGTATGTATGTAGGCACAACAAAATGCATATGTATGTACACATGTATATACATGTGCATGTTGCCTTCGCTCATTGCGTTGTGNACGTATGTACGTATGTAGACACAACAAAATGCATATGCATGTACACATGTATATACATGTGCATGTTGCCTTCGCTCATTGCGTTGTGGGTTTTTTTTGCGATTTTTTTTTTGTTTTATTACAAAACATATTATTTATAATGTTTATACGCACATAAATATACATATGCTTTGTACTCTTTACAGGCAATCATCAGCTGTACGACGTGAACGTCGACCCGATAGAGCGGTATATATTCCAAGGGCACGACGCAGTCAAACTACCCCACCAACGACGGTGGCGCTCACGGCGACGGCAACGGCCACAACAGCTGTCGTAGCTACAGGAATACAACAACAAAATGCTCCGCAGAAAACCNACACTACGGGTAGCAGCAAGAAGTTAGCGCATCGCAATCCAACGTGTTTAACTAGTTTTATTGCATTTTACAGCATTCTTTTGTGACTTATTTGCCATTTTGTTTTGCTCATATCTTTCTTAGTTTTGTGTGTACATTTGGTTGGCTGCATTTATGCTCAGGCGTTTCGTTCACCTGTCTGTCGATCATTCATTCACCCAGTTACCTCGAAACATGCGAGCGAACATATGTATACGTATGTACGTATGTAGACACAACAAAATGCATATGCATGTACACATGTATATACATGTGCATGTTGCCTTCGCTCATTGCGTTGTGGGTTTTTTTTGCGATTTTTTTTTTGTTTTATTACAAAACATATTATTTATAATGTTTATACGCACATAAATATACATATGCTTTGTACTCTTTACAGGCAATCATCAGCTGTACGACGTGAACGTCGACCCGATAGAGCGGTATATATTCCAAGGGCACGACGCAGTCAAACTACCCCACCAACGACGGTGGCGCTCACGGCGACGGCAACGGCCACAACAGCTGTCGTAGCAACAGGAATACAACAACAAAATGCTCCGCAGAAAACCGCAGCTACCATCTCACTAGCGAGTGCTTCGTTAACTCGGACGATGCCACCAAGTCACAGTCACCACAGCGCTGGTGGTTGTGGTGGTGACGGCGGCAGCAGTAATCAGCACCAATTGGCAATTACTTCGGAGGCAACAGTGTCAGTATACACAGCGGCGTCGAGCAAGTTAGACGAATTATCTGGCAACAAAAGTACTACAGCTGCTGGTGCTAGCACAGTTGTTTCTGTTTCGGCTGGAAAGAAGACAAAATCAGCTACAGTGCATGGTCGTGAGCGGAGAGAACGTTCTAAAAAGCTAACAAACGCTAATGTTCAGTCACACGAGGCGAAAATATCAAAATTATCATTGGAGAGAAGCGAAACGAAACTACAACTACCACAACAACAACAACAACAAAACGGTCATGATGAAACGTTGTTAAATCAATATCATCATTATCACCACCCACAACAACAACAACAGCAAACATATCTGTATACTGATCATTTGCAAAGATCCTCGCTCTGTGAGCAACAATTTACCGAAGGTGTGCAATTACCAGCAGAAATAATTGCAAACAACGAAATGAATTCGTCGTCAAATTCGGGCAAACGCAATAAGCCGAAACAAAGTAAAGTGCAGAATTTACGCATTGAAGATGTTGTTGCATCGAAACATAATGGTACACGGAGTACAACAACTAAATGTGATATTGAAGCGCAGGAACTACAGCGCGCATCGAAGGTAAATACTTACTCGTAAAAATGCGGTGCTGTAAAAAATATTGCTGTGAATTTAGATGCCTGAGAGTGCAATAAAAAAATGCAAATTTATAATGCAATGTGCTCGAATGCATTTTTTATTGTGCATGTGAAAATGTATAGTGAGTGGCTTGCAGTGAATACATAATTCTCCTGTACAGTGAAAATTTGTTAAGACCAGTAATTCGAATTTTACAGCAGAGAGGAAAAACTTCCCAAACTATTTTTATTAAAATATTTTGCAAAACTTGCATAACAGCATTTTTGATTATTTAAAGCAAAACATTCCCTCATGCAAATCGGTCAATGCAACTTTTTTTTATTCTTTTGTATTTAGCAGATTTTCTGGTTTTGTCTTTGGTCTTAGCAACTTTTGGTTTCAGTGCATAGAAAAGAAATGTATACAGAATCAGAAGAAGTAATTAGGTATTTTTGGAAGCGATACATTTTTATTTTGCTTCAGTTTAAAAAAAAAGTGGACTTTTTAATTTTTTACTCGAAGCTAGCGATTTGAAAAACGAATACGAAAAATTTCAGGCAAATTATAACAGAGTTCCATATGAAAAAAGTTAAGTTATAAAATTTTGCACAGTTGTGGCAGGTTTTAACTTGGAAAAGCAGTTAGTGGCCCAAAAAACTTGCCTAACATGAGAGAGCATCTAATTTCGATAATGTATTTAAAAACCATTATTTGCCGAATATAAATTTGTGAATAATTTGCACAAAGTAAAATGAGTAAAAACCGAATCTTGATGAAAATTTGAGCTCTAAGGAATGCAGTTTTTTAATTTATTATAAGCAGGGGACGGATTTTTAGGACCTAAAAACCTATAAAAAAGGCAAAGTGAAATAGCGAAATAGGCAGGAAAAGGCACTAGAAATGGCAAAAAAAAAAGCAAAATAAGGCACTAAAAAAGACAAAAACTTAAAAATAACACTGGTTTACAGGACAAATGTTCAACGGTCACCACTTCGTATCCAATTCCTATATAGAATTGCTCGCTGATTCCGTAAATCGAGTTAATTTTTTACCTGACTTCACAAAAAGGAGAAAGGTTATCAATTCGTCGGAATAAATATTTTTTTTGTTTATGTATGTCTCCGCATAACTTTGGACCACGTTAACCGATTTCTGTAATTTTTTTTAAAGGAAAGGTGTTACCTCACAGGTGGTCGCATTCTAATTCGGTTTAAATCCAATCATTGGATCATGAAGAAGTTAATGATAATCTTAAATTTTCATATGAGAATTGAAGTCCGGTTTTGTTTTTTGCTTAAAAATTACTTGTTTATTCTATGGATAAGTTTTCGAGATATTTTCATGTGTACATGCACAGTGGTCTTGAAGCAACCATAGCTATGACTAAAATGCCAACCAAAACGGCTTACATAACTGTCTTTGTACATAATCATAGATCAAAATTTCGTTGAAAATAAAATTCCATCTGCTCCTATGCTTAAAATATTATAAAATGTTGATCTAGAACTTTCCAAATCCAGTTATATAATCGCGAAGGTCTATGGTAATATAATTACGACAACCCTAACGGCCTTGTCCCTGTGGACAGATCCCACAGAAGCTGCACGCTTCCTAGGGTTGCCGTTAGTGGAACTTGACGACAACGACTGAGATACCAACCGATCTGGGCGGGGTTGTTGTAGCCGCTACAACAACAACAACAACAATAGCCGTGCGGAGGTTTGATAATTATAACATCATTATAACGTCATTAATTCCTGCTGACTTTGGGAAAATGAGCTTGTCATATAGATAGCTAGGTTCCTTATACATACATAATAAGTCGACAGAGAAAAATGCAGGCGGGATATTTGCAAAATTTATTCGTTTTCTAGATATGCGAGTTTTCACTGTTTAGACATAGCTCATTTCTCTTCGCCCAGGCAAAAATGGATGCTAAGTCATTATTTAACCTTGTACAGATTTCCCTTGTTTCCGCATGATTTCCAGACAGATATAGCTGAATGTCATCAGCATATGCATGCATATATACATGCTGGCAAGCAGAAAAGTAGTCATTTATAACTGAATATTAATGTACCCAAGATAGATCCTTGGGGCACACCAGCTTAGCAGTGGTTTTAGACCAGAAGCCAACTTTAACACACTGTGTTCTACCTGCAAAGTAGCTCCGCATGAGACGCATTGCGGAATCCCGTAAACCAAAATAGTATTTCAACTTCATGCAAAATAACCCAGAAGAAAAATAGGAAGGCCTTCTTAAGTAAAGTCATTCTAAGAGGCTTACCAAAGAAGGGCTGAAAAAAGTGCTTCCAAGCATGCCTTCTAAAATGGCTTATCCATTTACAATTTACGCGAATGCATAAATTTAAATTATTTATCATTACAAATGAATTTCAATAAACATTTTAAGTTGCAATAACACATGTTTTTTATAAACCTTAACCAAATTCTTCAAAGATGTATAATTTTCATAAATTAAAGAAGCAACTTAAAAAAAACTCCTCTACAAGGCCTTCTGGAAGGTCTTCCATGGGTAGCGAAAGAAGAAGCCCTTCAATTTGGAGATAGAAATGAAATAATGACTCTCAGGAAGGCCTTTCGGAAGGGCTTTTAACTCCTGAAATTATCTACTGGGAAGTCATGGCTCACAGAGTCAAAAGCTTTAGAGAAGTCAAGTGGGCATAATAAAGTCAATTGC